TTAACTCAAAACTTCTTTATACAAAAACATAATATTATATGATTCCTACTTTCGAATTACATAGTACCAAAATAATTCATCCAATGCACAAGATAAACTAGTTATAACAAAATACATCTTTCGTTTATGCTTGGTTCTTGAAAACTGTTCTTGCAACATTGACTGATACAAATTAATATACACCTGCATCTTAATATTATGTAAATATATAAGGAGCATATGTTACACTTGTTACACAAAGCGTATTCTGTTGTGTGGTTTTGTCTCAGTGGCTTTCGTGGTACCTTACTTCTACCCTTCATCACCATCAACTACAGTGGTAGTTGTTCTATTTTAATGCGCTCTTTGCAACATTGTGTTCTTAAACCTAAGTCTAGCTCTCATAATATTTTGCATTATTTTTTTTCCTCAGTGTCTCTAGTACCATCTCCGTGAGCCTTATTGGAAGGCACTGATGTGAAAAAGATAAATATTCTTGGCTAAGTTATACAGCCATCTTCCTCTCTTCTCGTAGGTTAGTCTTTGGAGATTTAAGGTCTTCCTTCTTGGCTAGATAACAGTTGGCCCAGTTTGTTTCCTTTCAGGGATTACTTTTTAGGTCAATATTCATCGTCATTGTGGGTACCAGAGCCGAGTTTATCCTCTTGCCAATCTGTATCATATGTTATGTTTTATGGGGATACAACAAGGTTCAAGCAATTGTTTGCCCTACACCTAGCCCGATCGTTCATCCAGTATCATTTTAGAGTCACGTACGATCTGGCACCACCATCCGGATCCTTCTCTGTACTCTGCACCGCTATCCTGTGTCACTTTAGAAGCTCTGCCCACAACATGTGACGTCATTGACAAACTCCTATGCGGCCCTGTCAAATAGTGCTATTTTTTTTATTATATGTTATGGTCTGTGACTTTTTGGAAGTGATGTGTAGTTTGTGGCACATTAGCCAATGTATGTGAGGTGTTGGGATGTATCGTGTTTTTGGGATGTAGTATAACTCCTTTTTGATGTTAAGTTATGTATTCTAATGTTATATGGCGAAATATGTTATTTACTATAATATAATGTGCGGTTATTGTGATGTCATGAAATAATATGGGATGTCGTAAAATGCTATTTGGCGATATTTGATGCTTTGCCAAGTACTTATATTGTTAGCGATGTTGTGTAACATATAAGCTACTCTTCACTATTTACTAAGATATAAATGTCCTTATACGGTAAAGAGGATTATCATCTGATCTGGAGACCTATGAAAACAAGCCTTTCATGTATAAGACTGGAAGTAAATATTTGGACAACCATAAACTCAAAAGAGTATGTGAGAAGCAATATATTGCACTAATACCAAGAAGCCATCTCAATGGCAACCTCAATGAAATACCTTGGGCTAGCTCTTGACACTTGCTTATAACACTGGTCTGCAAAAATAATTTTTCTGGCATGAAACAGCACCTTGTTTTTTACTAACTTTAAAGATTGCTGAATCAAATCTGATCTCAGATTTGCTTACATCACAACGTGCCAGAATTTACTGAGCTACGAGATTGAGATATGAACCGGAATTCACCTGTTTCTACTGATGAAGATGAAGAACCCGATATTTTCAAGCCATCTGGTGAAGATTGTGAAAACCAACGTTGTTTTGCTAAAGTCAGAATTGAATGATCTGGTCAGAATCTAAATTTTTCCACAAAACAGTCTGCTGAATTGTTAGCTTCCAGGCTTTAAGAAAACGACTCTTAAAACCTGGCACGAAATTAATGCTCGCATACTTGTAGAGAAGAGCAACTGCGGAGGTACTTTCATTCATATGACCAACTTGTTTTTTGTAATGATGTAGAAGGACTTCTTCTCTCCATGGGACTACCAGCATATGATAGTAAGGATTGGGGCTTTTATTGACAGTTCTAAAAAGGGCTTGAAATGTGTTCTATTCTTCATAACGGAAACAAGTATGGTTCGAATTCAATCGGACATTCTGTTTTCATTAAAGAAAGAATATGAAAACAATAAGAACTGTTCTAGAGGGTTGCAATACCATGCTCATGAATGGTTGGTGTGTGGACTTGAAAATGGTAAAAGCTTTTCTATTGAGCCAGCAAGGAGGGTACACAAAACCCCTGTTTTCCTGTGCTACTGGGACAGCAGAACTACAGCAGACCATTGGGTGAAAAGGAGTGGCCACCAAGACATAGTTTGACGCCTGGTGACAAGAATATCGTGTAACGATCCTCTAGTTTGACAGGAAAAGTATTGTCCTTCCTCCTCTGCACATAAACTTGGTATCATGGAAAAAACCAATTCGTCAAGGCTCTTGATCATAGTGGAAGTGTTTCAGATATATATACTCCAGCCTTTCCAAGTCTTAGCATTGAGAAGAAAAAGGCAGGAGTTTTGATGGGCCTCCAAATAGAACACTACTCAGAGATCACACTTCCTTGCAGCAGCAATGAAGGCTGAGGGGCACAGGCAAGAACTTGGAATGCTTTTTCTCCTAATGTGGTGCGGAACTGTAGTGAACAAGCGGACAACTATCAGAAATTGTGGAAGAAACTGTCTTGAGTTTACAAGCACTTGGATGCAGAATAAGTATCAAGGTTCACTACTTACACAGTCACTTGGACGAGTTTCGAAAATCTGGGAGAAGTGAGCAAGGGCAAGGGAGCGCTTTCATCAAGACATTAAAGTAATGGAAGAACGTTACCAAGGGTCAATGGGACTCGAACATGATGGCGGACTACTGGGGATTTGATGAGAGACATTCAGAAGCTGTACATAAGAGATCGACGAGAAGTTTATGTAGCATAACTTGATCTTAATACTTGCACTATTTCTACCGTACATTAATTGTTTCACCCTTCAATGTTACATTTAAATATTGTATATTGCATTAACTTTCCAATTTGATATTAACAATTTTTTGGTTATAGAAAATACAAATTATAATGCTGAAATTATGTATACATGTTTAAACCGTCAATTTTGATCCAAAAGTTTACGTTTCCTAGCAAAAGTGCAATATGGTATATCTCAAAAACCTGATGTGATAGACAAAAACCAAGTCATATTTGAATTCTGCACCCCAAATTTACTTAAAATCCGTTTAAAACCTTGTGCCAGAAAAAATTGTGTTGACCGGTGTAATCATAATTATTGTGAATAAATTTATTAATAATAAAGGGGCATGTTTTCTGTGAAGTATACCTGTCTGTCTGTTGACCCAGCAACAACTCCACAACGAAGCAGTTGAGACTGAAGCTTTTACACACATATTACATGAACCCTACACACGAGCATATATATCCATTGTGCCGTTATCAATCCAGTAAATATTATTATTCCTACTAGTGTGTATATATATATATATATATATATATATATATATATATATATATATATATATATATATATATATATATATATATATTATATGTAAATCCACAATGAAAACGTGGATAAGATAAATCTTGATAAAATCACACGGGAAAATGGAAACAACGGAGCACCTTAGCTTTCGTCTTTATTCAAGACATCTTCAGAGGCAACTGGATTACGATACGATACGAAGTCTTCAGTTAAGAGGTGAAAGAAGATTATTAGGGGTTGAAGGAAAAGTGGTGAAACTGAAATACAGTAGGAGTAGAAAGAATCTGGGCTCAAACCGATCGCTTCATCTTTCTTATTGGTGTTTTGTTTTTGTTCTGCTCCCCTTAGGTTAATGAACCTTTGTATTAATATTGGTTTATTTATATAATGCTGCTTATTATTATTATTTTTAATATTGTTGGAGTTAGTGAGCCGCCCAGGTCCTTTGTGTAACTGGGAGGGTAGTCCTACCAGAGGTGTTAGTTAGAGGTATTAGTTGTGTTAGTCTAAGGTACACTGTATGGGGAGGCCTGCAGGTTCTTGAGTGGAGCTGGTTGGTCCTCTCATCTTTATTCCTCTAGTAATGTTTTATGTAGAAATGTGTATATTGAGGCAGGAGGTGGTTCAATTACTTCTTCTATCATGTAGTGGTTATTATTTTTTTTTTATTTATTGATGGAGTTAGTGAGCCCACCCAGGTCCTTGTGTAGCTGGGAGGTAGTCACATTTTTTTTTGCTAAGATGTTAGTTCAATGTTAAATGTTAAATGTTAAATATTAGTTATGTTAGTCTAAAGGTACACTGTATGGAGAGGCCTGCCAGGTTCTTGTGGAGCTGGTAGGTCACTCTCATCTTTATTCTCTCTATTAATGTTTTATATGTATATTGGGGCAGGAGATGGTTCAATTACTTTCTTCCTGGCTGATTTTAACCAACTGTGTTCTTGGAATTCTTCGTTGTCTATATTATTTATCCAGTTTTGATATGTTTCTGTGTTAAGTTCAGTCACTTTTTCCAAATATTTACAGCTTTGTTGTGTATATCTACATTGATTGCTAAGAGGTTTGCTCTCTTGTGTAGCTGTTCATTATTGATGTGGTCTGTATATTTTATGTTATATATAAATCTGAGGGCTATATTTTGTACTGTTTGTAACCTTTTAATGCACGTTTTACTAAGGGTGTTCAATGGGATGGATTACATGGACAGAGAGAGGCTTAAATATACAGGGTGACCTTAAAAACATGAGGTCAGGTCATAATGATGTCATCCACTAATCCCCACACCAACATTTAAGCCTCTCTCTGTCCATGTAATCCAGTTGCCTCTGAAGATGTCTTGAATAAAGACGAAAACTAAGGTGCTCCGTTGTTTCCCTTTTCCTGTGTGATTTTATCAAGATTTATCTTATCAACGTTTTCATTGTGATTACATAAATATATATATATATATATATATATATATATATATATATATATATATATATATATATATATATATATATATATATATATATATATATATATATATATATATCCCGAATGTAACTGATGATGAAGAAATACATCAAAGAAAAAGAATAAAATACATCAAAGTTTAAAAGAACAAATGTCTGATACGTAACCTAGTGTTTTTATTATGTCACAAAAGATACAGTCTATGTTGACCGAATTCTTCAACAAGTTCTACAGTACATTTATTATGGAGTTTAAGCTGTGTAACCTCTAATGACACACATAAACGAAACTAACTAATGCAATTAGTGGTAAGTTCCATGTTTACCGCCTCCTGTGTTATTTAATAATTTTATTAAAAGCGAGAAAAATAATTAATGAGATTTTTAGTCAAATACAATTGTTATTGCTGAAGGATTTAGTCATTATTATGAGGGCAAGGGGGCGGATGCATAAGGTTAAACAGTTATTTGGTTATTCGACAGAGTTAAAAAACGGGCGAATCCTGGCGAGGACGATCTCACAAGCTAATACGAAAAGTCCGAGGGCTTCTCCTCCGACAAGAATTACAAACATTCCCTGAAGAAGAAAATGTGCGTTAGTGGTGGAGTAAGACGGGTTTAAGCCTCCTAGATATACAGTATAATGCCATCCAACTTTTTGAAAACTCTGATTTCTTAGAGTATGTCAGTAGGCTGTAACTAAAGAAGAACAGAGACCATGTAAACACAAAGAGCACACGAGAATGACGAGAACAGGCAAATGTAAATTAAGCAACTAAAATATTTAATAGGAATAGTTTTATAAGAATAACACGAGGAAGAAATATGAAGGAGCTCTATAATACAGCATAAAATCAACACTATACTCGTATATATAATAAATAAACCAATATGTTGCTAGGACAGCCACATTTTTCCATCAAAAGGTTTTAGGGACCATATTTTCTATGCTAACCAATACACGTGTACAAACACTGAAAATTACTACATACAAGGAACATTCTTTACCAAAACGTTATTCAGAAAGATGGACGAGGTGATGGTGGTCCTGGTCGGGGCGTGCACACAGGCAGTTATGTTGCGGAAAAATATTTTCAACCAATATTCCTTCAGCCCGCTCTCAAATATCTGCCTGTGTCTGTAGGATGCGAAAATGGAGATGAACATTGGCTCTATACAAGCACTAATATAAGGTGTTGAGTTATATTCACAGTGTGAAGCAAGAGATGGCTAAGATATATAAGAGAGAGAGAGATGTTTAACAGGGTAAATAGTTTGTCTTGATGTACGGTAAGGGGCTGGGTGATAACAAAAAAATCAATAATGCGGGTTACAACAACGAGAAAATCGGTAAAATGTTTTTGACATTTGGACTAAAAGTGCGACTTGGAGATTTAAGATAGTGACCTGGGAAGCATTCGCAAAATCCCCTCCAATGGTTCAAAAGTTACTGAGCAATGTGGGACGGACTATAAGGCGGCTATTATACGCTCACCTTCCGGGAAGCACAAAACATTTTGACATAAAGTTTTGAGGATATGCAGGACATTACGACAAGACCAATGTCAATATTATACACATTATGCTCAAAGATATGGGAAGATGTACTATATGTGTGGCATATGAGGAGAAGATATCGGATGTATAGTATAATTAATATTGAGACCTCTACTGTGCATGAGGTGACTGGAGATATGCCAGGTAAAAATAGTGAGGTTTAGTACTCTGATATTTTGTTCATAGAATGCTGAATATGAGTCATAATAATAAAATAGAAAATAATTTAAATAAACTAGTCTTGTAAAACAGAAAATGAGTGTATATGATTACTGTCTTGAAATATTTTGACAATTTTAAAACATGTGCCATTACTGTAGTAACAGATATTAAGTTGTGGTACCACCTTTTGCTCCATGCTGGAATCAGGGGACTGTCCTTCTGACCAATCATAGCATACTTTGAGGAGAGGAACGTTTCCCTAGAGAGATAAAAGTCACATCGCCCTGTAGGAATCAATTATTGTATATATATTTACGTGTTCATAAATATGAATTATTGTGCATTTTACTACTGTAATACGTACACACTGATGGTGATATTCCCATTCTTTACTTTAGCTTCATCAGTCAAGGATGAAAAGGTATTATGACCCATCGCAATCTGTGTCTTCATCCATCCATTTGTTTTACCCCAGATGAAGTCATCCGAAGTAAACCTTATATTGAATATTTACTGAATCCCTATGGACTGTAATGTCCTTATCAAAGGTAAGATTTAGGGAGCTCCCATTTAACTATAATTTGCATTGATCCATTACTAACATTAACTTAATACTTGTTATTAGTTTGATAATGAAGTAAGTAATTTGCTTGTTTCTTATTCTGGCAAGTATTGGTATTGATGGTAAAAATAAGGACAATAGAAATACTTCTATAAGTACTGTTACTATCATTAATAACAATAATATTATTAATAATAAAATATATTTTAAAAACTTTTCTGCCTCTAGGTCATTCACGAATATCACATCTTTCTTAAGGGTTAGCTTACTCTGTTTCAACAGATTTCATACTAAGGCGCGTTTAAATTTCTTTGGTAGTGTGCTTAGCCTCTTTCAATAGATGGCTCAGTATCACTCCATCAACTCTGAATTAGCAATATATATTTTTGGAGGGTAAATCGGTACTTCAATCAAGCTTCATTACCAGTTTAAGAAAAGCTTAGGATTTCAGAAAAGTATTTCAAATGTTGTTTTATTTGTAATCATGAAATACTAATTGAAACAGGATTAGCAAAATTATTATACTATTATCAATAGTGCTAGTAATGATAAACGTATTAATAATAATGAGATGAAGAACAATAAAAGTTATTATTATTATTATTATTATTATTAGTAGAATCGCCGTCCTCCGGCGGCTCATCCGCTAGGCAACGGTAGGACGCCACCCTCCGGGAGGCTCCACATTATCTCACTGTTCAGTCCCCAAAACTTCTTCTTCCATCAATAGTTCATTAACGGTGTATGTAAGTTCCACCATGTTTTTCACTACAACGGTACAGCAAAATATATTTTATTAGCATTAAACTGTTATTATTTTATTGTCTAATCATCACTACATATAACACCACCCATCATCATGACATATAACTACATCCATCATCACTGCATATAACATCATCCTTCATCACTACATATAACACCATCCATCATCACTACATGTAACACCATCCATCATCACTACATATAACACCACCCATCATCACTACATGTAACTACATCCATCATCACTACATATAACACCATCCATCATCACTACAGATCGGTAAAGTAGTTTCCGAGATTCTCGTGAGGACATACAAGCACACAGACATACTTCTTTGTTTTATATATGTATATATATATATATATATATATATATATATATATATATATATATATATATATATATATATATATATATATATATATATATGCAAGTAAAAACTGTAGTAGCGGTGATTTATATATGATAACCACAAGGATAGAAGAAAACAAGTTCCCAAGTGCTTTCGTGTAATTCATATCCTTGTGGTTATATATATATATATATATATATATATATATATATATATATATATATATATATATATATATATATATATATATATATATATATATATATATATATATATATATATATATATATATATATATATATATTTTTTTTTTTTTTTTTTTTTTTCATAAATGAAAATATGGATAAGATAAATCTTCAGACAACTGAAGTTGCCTCTGAAGATGGCTTGAATAAAGACGAAAGCTAAGGTGCCCGTTGTTTCCATTTTCCTATCAATATATATATATATATATATATATATATATATATATATATATATATATATATATATATATATATTATTATTATTATTATTATTATTATTAAAAAACAACGCAAACTATAACCTTTTTGTGAGAAGTCGTGGTTCATGATTATTTTATGTAAAGCGTCTTCTGCTACAAAGACATGGCTGCCAGGTCTGACCTGAGTGTCAATGTTATTCTGGAATTGTGAGGGCACACTGTATATTATATGTCCTTTCTTCTCTGACTCTGCGACCTCAAAGAAGATTCCTGATTCCACAGACTGAGGAAATATAAAAGAAAAAGAGTGGAATAGGGTCCCGAACACTTCACAGCGACTTAGAGGTATTGGTGTTACAACACTAAGCCCTTTCAACACACAAGGAAGCAATGTGGCCGGCACTGCGCTCATCCACCTTTCTTCCACCATATACAGGTAGGTGGATTGGGTACACCCCGGATGCGGACCAGAGAGCCTCATGACAGAAGATGAACACCGAATACACTCGGCCGCCGCACCTGGTATAGCTATTGTAAACAATATAAAGAAAAGACCTTAGGCTATTCACAAGTACTGTTATCTAAATTTTAGGAAAAAACGTAAGTTCTGAGAATAACTTGAGAAACTGAGAGTCGATTGTTTTAAATCAGGCAATTTTACTAATATTTATTGAGAAATTTATGATAGTGTGTAGTATTGATTAGCATGTGTAATGTTAATACTGAGGGTGAGTTTACATTCTCATCTGAATAAAGTTCGAGGGCCCTCTGTTTATCTGATGACCGATCTACATCACCAGAGTTTTTTATCAACCAATTTTATTCACGTTTACACTTTTTATTTATTTTAAGTATTTTGTAGAAGATTCATTACCAATGACCTACTCTAAAATATTTTATAAATTTTGTGTTGGCCTCCCACATCATGTTGACTGACGGGTCATCCAGCACGTCCCGGAGGCTCTGGTAAGGTTGAGGAATGTGTCTTACGGCCAGGAGGGCCATGAGGTTGCCGGCGTAGCTCCGTGTTAACACCAGCGTCATCAATATCCACACCGCCAGTACTATCCGGTGCCACCACCAGACTGTTGCTACTGAGATATCTACAGGAGGAAACTCTATTAGGAAAAAGAGTGTCTTAGTTTTGGTTACTTTCCAGCGTGTGTATGTCTTTATTTTGTGAGACTTTGTGCCGTAACTTGTAGAAGAATGTGGGAAAGGTTATTATTTGCTTTGCAAAAAAGTAATTATATGTTTGATCATCTAAGAATATTAATTTGTGTATTTAGTTAGCATAGAAGGGAATGTATGAGTAGCTTACGAAGCCTATAGCAATCACTGCCAATAGGATACCAATGAAAGCATGATTTGCAGAAAGAAGAGCAACAGCTGGACAAAGATGTGGAGAAAGGAGAAAGTCACCAATTGTAATGAAAAATACCAAATTACTATGACTTCAATATTTTACACTATATGTAGGTAAGAATAAGTAACTTTAGCAGAAAACAGCTGAACCTGGACTCTGAAAACAACACAGTTTACCTTGCTGAAACAATACGCGAAAGAAGACGAAAATATGTGTAGTATTGTTATTCTGACGAGTCGTCTTAGCAGAGAGCCAGGACGTTGCAATGAATGCTGCCGCAGGCGTCGCCAAGAACGACACGAGGATGGCCATCCACACTAGAGGGTCGAAGGGCAGTAGGAAGCCCCACGTGTCCACTTGTGCCTTACCCCTACTCGCCAAGATCCTAAGGCTGAATGTCTGGATTGGGTATGTAAAACTCACCACCTCGGCGCGGCTAACACTCACTCCGAAAAGCTGTGGGCTAAGATCCACCTCCTGAAGTAAGCATAATACATGGCAATTAATTAAAAGGCTCCCTGTCCCTCTTTGAAAATTGTTTGAAATGGTAAAGAGAGAAAATCTGTAAATAATTAGGTTGACAGAAAGGTGAGCTAATCATGAATGAACGTTTGAGAGACACTTGGATTTTATAAGTGTTTTAGGCGAATGCTCAGAAAAAGCTGCACTGATTGGAAAACAAATGAAAAAGTACTAAGATTAGCAAAAATTCCAAGAAAATCTTTGAAATGAACAGAAAAAGAAAAATTATATAATTTGGTCATATAATTAGGCACGATGAAATAATAATATAACTATTAATGGTCAAAGATAGACGTAGGAGGGCCAGAGGAAGGCAGAGACTGGGTTGATGAATTAAATTAAAAACTGGGTTCCCAGGGATATACAAAACCTTAGAGGAATGGTAGAAACAGCTCGGGAAAGTTTAGAGTGGAGGACTGTTGTCCCCAACCCACAGATATGAGGACTTTACTCCGATTGATTGATTGAATCCAGGTAGTTTATTTGGATATACTCATTTAAATGGATTCACCTTTCTTGCCACCATCCCCACCATCCCGGACCAGGTTCCATCTTCCCTCAGGGTTCCTAGGGACCTATCAGGAGGCGTCACGAACGTGTACCTAACAAATAAACAGAAAAACATTAACATGCTCCTCACTCTCCTTGATGGCGTGTATAAATAAAGAACTAAATTAGTATTCAAGTTTTATGGATAACAATATAGATTTATTGTCGAAGAGTCTCTCATAAATTTCTAAAGTACAATGGTAAATTCATTTTTGATAAGGAAACACTTTGAACTATATAGGTTATGCGTGGAGAGGCTGTGCTAAACCAACATTGATTTTTTTATCCTTAATTAATTAATAATAATGTATTCTTGTTTCACCTGCATTATAGGGATTAGAAATGTAAATAAACATGGTTCAAGGTGAAGTGAACATTATTTTGTCTTACCTGGTGTACACAGTTCAGGAGAAACGCTTTCTGCTTTACAGGTATAAAGGAAAGGGATAATTTACCTAACACATTAATACAATGTTAGTGTCAACTAATTAGAACTTTTAATTTAAAGCTGCATAATTGGTAAAGTTAATCAAGTGAGGAGAACTAAATTCTTTATTACCGACCTATGAACTTTCTGTTGTAGGAATGATCCATCAGTATCAATTGTCTAACTCCAATAGGGTTCTTGTTACATTTATTAAACAAATTATTTGCCAGTTTTGTAGATATTTTTTTATGATTACTTCCTTAACCTCACAAAAAGTTTCCGATGAAAATTATTTCATAGGTTCTCCTGGGCTCATCCTTAGTCGAATTAACTGAGTGTTTACTATTAATTGTGTATCTTCATTCTAGATATACGTCTCATACTCACTACCCAAGTAAATATATGCTAAAAATTGTGAGCTTGTATAGTAATTTTACGTAATGAATACCTTTCTATCTATCAGTCTATCCACAGAGAATAATAATTCAACTTACGACATATTTAATGCAGTGGCGATGTGTTCCAGCATTGTAACATCAAGTCCGGTAAACCAAAGCCTCTTTCTTCCTGGAGCCTCTGGATCGTCCTTCGTCACCTGTCGGTTTAGTATACCTCCCACCATCACCAGTTTAAGTGTTGGTCTGCGAATAAATCTGGAAAAGATAGAAGGTTCATAAATCTATACTGTAGCATAACTGTTTTTTTTTTATTGCATCGGTGAAATGATTGTTTGGATTATTTTTTGTATAAATAAAATCAATCTTCTTTCCCAGGTCTATACTTTTAGATTTTTCCACTCTAACTTGTCTTTCTCTATATGGCGCGCGGTGGGAGGGATGACGAATAGTATCCGCGGAATTGTAATTAAAGTCTGTAAGTTAATTATGCATGTAGTTTTTCTTTGTTTATAAGTAGATTCAAGTTACTGTAGTTTTCCCAGAAGCGTTAATTTACCCTAAATTATTTTGGAATATTTGTATGTATATATTTTTTTACATCACCTCAATTTCCCAAACAGAGCAAATTTACTTTAATATCAAGTTAATATCTATGTGCACATCCTTTATCAACCTGTTTTTACTGCGTTGTCTTTAATTATCCACCAGCATCGTTCAGCCATAATCTCCTCATCTTCTTTTCAGAACTTTTTCTCTGCTCATCCTCTCCCATGCACTTCCTCTATACCAACGCAGTGTGATGATAAAATACCTTTTGTCATAGCGCTGTCACCGTAGTCATCATCTTTAGTATCAATAAACATTCACAGTTTATGTTCAAAATCTTTTGATATGTTATATTTCAGTAAATCGTTTCCCAGTTCATATTATATTTGAAAAGTATTAACACTATACACGGCGGGCGAGAGAAGGGACCGTCAGTTACAGTTCTTGATCTTTAACCCTATAGAGTTTTGAGGGCAGGGGGTCCTTTTGGCTGAATAAAATCGTTGGGCGTTAGCTCGAATAAAATACCCAAAGGATACTTTGCCATAGGTTATCTTACTCTGTTATATATCTCATATCATCAGCAGAACTATGAAATATTTTTTTTCTGCACTGTTTTATCATACCTCATTATGGCGTCAAAATGATATCGTGTAGATCAATGGGGGATCGGTGGTAGAAGCGGTACCGTTCTTGCCCCGCAAGCGAGATGTCACGGGTTCGATTCCCGGGCCGGTGGAAGTTGTTTGGACTTACTTCCTAGCCCCCATTAGTCCCTGTTCACCTAGCAGTAAAGTAGGTACCTGTTGTAAGTCGAAAGTTGCGAATTCGTATTCAGGGAAAGTTGTTGGAGCTTCCAATAACTTAATGACATAAAAACCACTGACTCTTCAGGCTTCTACGCCCTAACTCGTGAGACATAAAGGCAAGCATAAACTTAGCATGCTTCCTTGTTGGGCGCTGTAAAAGCTTCTGCGCTTCACCTTACACAAGGATGTAGGGGAATGCCCAATAAAAAAACAAAACAATCATGGGTAATAATATATGTTTGGGTGATCGTAAGACAGCACAATACTTACATTGAAAATTTTTCAGGAAACAGCGGGAATCGAGTGTTAAGACACAGGCCCCTTTGTCTTGTCCAGGAAGCAAGATGAATAACCTCACCTTCCCCTGGACTGTAGGGCACATGCACATATAGTTTACACCTGTAAAAAATACATTCCTCCTTAATTACTTGTTTCAGGTATTTGTTAATACTCTTAATTACAAGTAACTTATAGACAGGCAACTTTTTATTAATTCATAATAAACACAGACACACTCGGAAGAAGAAAGATGTAAACCTTCGAGATATTGTGTCGTCCACGACGAGCAACATGGAATTGGTCATAGAGAAGGTTTTGTGTAGGTGTTGGAGCTCTGGGAGGGGCAGGAGGGTGACGACGAGGAGCCTCGTCGACCACACAAGGAGGCGGCCCTTCAGGGACCACTCGGCGAAGGCGGTGAGGAAGACTGGGTCGTCGCTCACCACCACCACCGTCACGCACCATGACACCTGTAGCAGCTGTTGATAACAATACGATATAAGTTATGTGAGAGTGACCTACCCGCCTTAGGAGTAATATCGGAGAGACCAACCCGCCTCAGTAGTAATGTGAGAGTGACCTACCCGCCTGTAGTAATAATAATAATGGTTGCCCCTTGTGTAACGAGAATGGCCGGCCCAAGGGCCACACAGGCGTGAATTTGTTTAAGGTGTAGAAGCTGTCGGCAACACAACAACCACACCCTAAGTTAACGAGCTGCGTGCCCGGTGTCAAGGAATAGTCAGAGAAGACCGGACCTGCACTGGCTAACCATTACCCCGGAATACGATTCGCAAATCGATTAACATATAGTTTCCCAATTACTGCTGGGTAGCCAGAGGAAAATGGAGTAAAGAAACATGCCCATAGTTTCACCCTGCACAGAGATCGAACCCGGATCCGCTCCCTTACGTTGCAAGCTTGCTGACCATTACACCGCCTCAGTAGTAATCGTGAAAATGACATATCCACATTAAAAGAATTGTAATTCGTGACAAACAATAATAATATTAGAAATAATGAGTGTCACTTACCTGGCGAGCGTCAGCTACCGCTCTGTTAAGCTGAACAAGCGAAACGTTTAATTCTTGGTTGTGCACAGGTACCTGGAACATCCCCACCCCACCAGAGGCTCGGAGCTGTCTTAACATCTGGAGCATCGATAACAGAAATTAAAGTTTCATTACTGATGAAGAAAAGGCAGCTGTCAGGATTATCATCATTTGGTAATAATTCCACTGTAACTCACCATGAAGGCAGAGGAACTAGAGATGGTACCGTCATGGAATAGAAAGACGGAGCATGTGGAATATGTCTCTGGTGCCAAAACAGCCTTCACCGCTTCTCTCGCTGACGTTAGTGTGTCTTGGGCACTAACTAGAATATGCAAAAAAAATAAAAAATAAATAAAAAACTCTTGAAACATAGATGAAAACAGGTAAATCTCAAATACTCCTGAGGCTAGTAATAGTATTTCCGATACCCTAGGCGAGATTTAATACATTTATAATGTTTTCTAGTCTCCATTCTAGATCCATACAAAGCACCCAATTTAATTTCGTCTTTTCTAAGTTAGTATATTTTTCTTATCATTCCTCCCTAAAAGTGGTTTACCCTATTCCTCACAAAAGATATCTCTAAGGTCTTGTAATCTGTCTTAAACGAGCGCCTTAAAGAAAACACCATCTCCACAACACCCAGTGAGGTGTCCCTTCTAGCCATTCAAACACAGAACTTTTCGCTCTCTTAATTTGTAATCGACTGTGATCTCTGAAACTATCAAATATTTAATATTTTGACCTTTGCTTTTTCAGAAGTTAGTTCTCGTTCTTACCAGTTTCTTACTCCATACTGTATCCACGACCTGGACAACAGTTTATTTACCATTCTGATGCCCAGTGGTTGAATATATTGTGTCTGTAGTTCAGCTGTGCAAAGACAACCATTTTATTTTTAATGCCATCAAAACACTAACTCTCTTTCTTGAAATCAAATAATTTCCAGCCTCTACTTTCATTCATTAGCGTGCCAATTAAACTAACCACTCATGTCTTTCATGCCTGGAATCCTTCACATATCTAGTGCTACAAAGACGGTAAAAAACAAAATATGGGGTCATTTTTTGTGGCGATCCAGCCTTTACTTTTGCATAACTTCCCACTATTTTTTTTACGGGGATTAGCCCACCCGGGCACAGGTCACTGACCCACATCAGGGCCTGGGGGACGAAAATATAACAATAATAATAATAATAATAATAATAATAAAAACCATAAATAAATACAAAAGTGAAGAAATATATCAAGAATGAGAAACGATATACAGTATGTATGTTGTGTTGTCAATAGTAAGACAAGCAATTGAGACCCAGCAATCGTGTAAATGAGGCAGAAAGTCAGATGAGCAACCTGGGACTTGGTCACAATTTTTGTGATGCCATACACTGTAGCAGCAGCGTCTACCGTAGCTTCCCTGGGGGTAGTACCTCCCTGTTTGATAGCTGCGTATCACTCCCATATTATCTCCTTCACTCTCCTTCACAGCAGATGATCTATTTTTTTTTTTGCTTTCTATTTCCTATCTCAAGTTCCAATGTTAATCCACCAATGAAATATAACAGGTATTTCCACTTTTTGAAACCCAGTCGCTAAATACCTCCTTCGGTATCATGTGAACCTTACGCCACGCAAGTTACCTCTAACAGAACTTCATTATTCACGCTCCTTCTTTCCTCGATTTCTGGAAATCCCTTCCCTATTTCATTCACATTTTACTTGTGCCTCTTTAACTGGAGTATATTAACCCACTTCTTCCCACAAAGCTTAACTTTGCCTTTTTCAGTTTTCTTCTCCACGGTTTGCTAGACTAATTTGTGTTTTGTTATTATTGTGTTGTGCTCTAGAGGGCAACTTGCCAGGACTTTCGCTCCTTGACCATCATGCTGTCTAAAAACAATACATTTGTGTGTGTGTGTGTGTACGTGTGTGTGTGTGTGTGTACGTGTGTGTGTGTGTGTGTACGTATACAAACGTAAGTCTTAATGATTACTTACCATGCAAGTGTGGAAGTTTTGCCAGACCAAATTTAACTAAGACCACGAGGAAGACGATCCGTGATGATAAAATTTTTAACATTTTTATTCCACCGTCTCAGAATCTGAAAATAGAAATCCGGTTAAAGTGTAGTCAATCTACATTTGCTCAATCGAGCTCAAACTTACATTTATCAGGCTGATTAACCGGAGCAAGAATGTGTCTTCAAGCTGATAGGATTCCTGTGTATACTCCTATTTTATCGTTCCTCTATTAACACGTCTGTGTATGGTGGATCAAGAGTATGGAAGACCCCAAGAAGGAAAGGAAACGGTAGTGGAGAATAGTGCATGGAAAGGGGAAGAAAGGTTGAAGCAAGCACAAACTTCTCACGCATTTTCTCATTACCTCAACTTGGATATAAAGTACTTACTTATCTTGTCAGTCACCGAGTGTTCTCTGACTGCCTTTTCTTTATATTGCATTTTCCTGTTAATGTGATAAGGAATAATTCTCTAAATATCTTTTTCCTATATAAAATATAATGAAAACTATTCTCCTATTGGAACATTCTTATTTTTGGGGCGTTGTTTCATCATGGTGTGAAGACGGCGAGCATTGAAAGCATCTATAAAATATGTTTGTTTAAAAACTAGTCATCCAGACCCTGTTCAATTATTATATAGCAACTATTGGGATACACCACACCCGTTTGACAGGATTTTAATGATAAAAGATTCGAAAATAAATATTTCTTTAACACATAGAATGAATATATATATATATATATATATATATATATATATATATATATATATATATATATATATATATATATATATATATATATATATATTATATATATTCCAGTGAATCCTAATGAAAACGTGGATAAGAGATAAATCTTGATAAAATCAGCAGGAAAATGGAAACAACGGAGTACCTTAGCTTTCGTCTTTATTCAAGACATCTTCAGAGGCAACTGGATTACATGGACAGAGAGAGGCTTAAATATACGGGTGACCTAAAAACATGAGGTCAGTTATAATGATGACATCCACTAATCCCAACATAACACAACCGTAGAGGGCTTAAGAAGGGAGGTGACGTGACTAGACAGGTCAGGTCAGAAAAAAGGGAACCCAAAAAAACAACTGTCATACATCAAGATCAAGGTTTTCCAAAGCATTTTTTAACCTTGGGCCACTGACAAATAAATTTATGTAACATATTATCAGTTTTGAACTGACCATCACTAGGTTTATTGATTTAATTCTTAATCAAACTAGCTCAACCAGAAGTCTTTCTGTGACACAAGATGATTTGAATACTTCTAAGCTTTTTCCCAAGCAATGGGGTGATTATTATTCTAACATGAACGAACAAGGCACTGCTTTCAGATGCAGTTCTGATATTATTCTTATGTTGTTTGATTCTGAGCTGCAGTGTTTTCCTGTCTGACCTACATAATTACAATTACATTTGCTACATGGAATACAATAAACACTTCATTTACATTCAAACTTGGGCTATTCATATTAACATATTGGTAATGGTTGAGTCATACTTGAAAACAACATTAATATTTAGAAGCTTGAGGACCGAACTAACGGGACAAATTCATCACGATAGGGCAGAGTCAAAATTATTCTTAAGGTCTAGGAACGTGCTGTTTGAGAGGAATGAAAGGATTTATTGTCAGTGTCCAAGGTTAAAAATGCTTTGCTTTGTGATATATATATATATATATATATATATATATATATATATATATATATATATATATATATATATATATATATATATATATGCTGATAACCACAGGAAGAAGAAAACACAGATTTCCCAAAGCGCTTTCGTGTAATTCACATCTTCAGGGGGTGAATTACAGACTAGAAATACAAATCAAGGTGTATATATACAGAGAAGGGTTGAGACCAGGTCCTCAATGGTCAGGTATTAGGTAATGACCCTAATCTTTAAATAGCACACAACGGTTGGTGGTCAGGGTCAGATGGTCAGGTGACCCGGCCTTCTCACCTGGTCACAGCGTCACATACAATGAAGAGTAAGACTACCACTTTTACCAACATCGTGATTTATTGAAGCGAGAGTTTCGGAGAGATTCATAAAAAAATGTTAAAGATACTTGGATGATATATTTCATCTTTTAGTCCTTCCATATCCCGTTATTCTTAGATTAGTTGAAATTCAAACACTTAAATATACCAGTTCACCTCTGAGTAGGAAAACAATATTTCAGTACTGATGGGTATGTCATCACTTGGCTGTACTTACAAGTGCGGGTCAGTGCAGATCGGTATGGTGTTCCAAGACAACAGTACCGAATAAATTGTCCCAGCACAAATTCTCGGACAGGATTGTGAGTAGATGTTCACCAGTGAGCAGAGGGCTGGTCTTCACAGCATCACTAGAAGTCGATCTCCACCATGGCGTGACGGGGACACCGCCACCACCGAACAATCCAGTCAGCAGAACCAGGACTTTTCTGTAAACACTTCTACATCTGGCGGGTCATAGGTGGAAAGATTTAATGTCAACACACGCCATCGATATTGATGAAGCCAGCGGCGATAATACTCCCGACGTTGGGCTATTGCCGATTTACGGTGTGGCGTGTTCAATAAGGCATGCACGGATCACTGGCCTTCGTGACTCCCCAGATACGATTCGCACGCACCTGGCGCACTAGACCATTGGCTCCGGGACTGCTGCCGTGACCCTGCCCAAAACCATGAGCCATTTGTTGCGAGTAAGATCTTCTCCGGTGACGAGAAAAAGGTCGCCTTTCCTGATATTACAGGTTGGATCTATCTACAGTCTCGTTCAAAATTCTTCGAACACTGCTGGAGACAGCTGGCAACTCAAGGCCGTTTGTTTACTATAGTACGTAGTATAAATTATGAATAAATGTAAAAGTGATCGGTGATTGGTTACTTAGTTCCCCGTTGCTTAATTAATGTTTATGCTTTGTTTTTCGTATTATATTATACTACGTACTATAGTAAACAAACGGCCAAGTTGCCAGCTGTCTCCAGCAGTGTTCGGAGAATCTTGAACGGACTTCCTTCCATCTTTACAGAGTAGTGGAAGGTACTTCCTCACCCAGTGTTTCAAAAGCGATCTGCTAGGAACTGCACGTGCCGCCACCGTCGTTGAAATAGGTCCTTCAGAAGACATCCTCCTTTGTGAAATACGCTTCCAGCATTTCAATCACAGTTCGTCTTGCACTTCTGCCATCATGTGGATGGGATTTTGGTCAGGTGCTGAGCATTCAGCCTCGGGCAGGTTTGCCCCTCCAGCTTCTGTTGCCGTAAGTCGTGGTCATTCAGCTCTGGAGGACAACGTCTACCTATGGGTCTCGTCACCTTCATCCATGTTCACCTTTCCTTTCATCGCTCTGGTTCATTTCTACTACCTCTGATCCTTTTACTGATATTCATATGGAGCTCCGGTTAGGTCTCAAAGTTTGTTCGATGTACCACTGCTCACCGCCTGTATTTGGTGGGGCAGCTCGCTGCTGTATTTTGTTTGACTTAAGTAGGTCACCGCTGGTTGCTTGTGGTGTTACAAGTGGCACTTCACTGCCGGTTGCTTATGGTGTTACAAATGCAAGTTACTGCCGAATGTTTATGTGGTGTTACAAGTGGATCACTGCAGGTTGCTTACAGTGTTACAAGCTGATCAGAGCCGTTGCTTTGGTGATACAAGTGACAGGTAACTGCCGGTTGCTTACGATGTTAAAGTGGCAGGTAACTGCAGGTTGGTTAAGGTTTTACAAGTGGCACTTCACTGACAGTTGCTTTTGGTGTTAGTGCAGATCTGCCGATTGCTTACGGTGTTACAAGTGGATCACCATTGGTTTGCTTCCGGCGTCACAGGTGGATTACTGCGGGTTGTATGGTGTTACAAGCGGATCACTGCAGGTTGCTTACAGTGTTACAAGCCGTTTACAGCAGGTTGCTTACGGTTGATACAAGTGACGGCTCACTGCCTGTTGCTTAGAATGTCTCAAAGTGGCACTTCACTGCCGGTTGCTTACGGTGTTACAAGTGTTATATTATGTAAATTTAATCACACTTACCGTGTACTTCGTTGAGTTGATTATTTGTTACCTTAAATCCGGTGGTGCTGAATAAATTTTCCTTTCCTTCGTAACCTCAGTAGCGGGTGGAGCTCTCCCTATACGAAAAAGAGCACTCCCACCCTGTGGTCCACGCTCACATGGCAATGTCCCGACCAGTGCTGCTGGATTGTATGTTTACCAATTTAAGGGTACAAGTACGCAATACCAAAGGAGGACATGAAATTCAGATATCATTCCATGATTTACTTATTTTACGTAAGTTTAGTAACATAATAATCGTTACTGATGCAGTAGAAAAGGCGATGAGGTTGACAGGCCAACGAATATGGTCATTCTGGCACCGTCCTATTGTGAAAGCAAAAGGATTGTACACTTCTGCGGCGTTCGTCTGGTAACCACTATGTAAGGCTCCTTATAACATTGGCGAGTATCGTCTCACATTTAGTCTAATTGTATTTGTTATGATGAATTAGTATATTTACTACTTTTGGATAAGTGTCCCATGAACCAGTTTCGTGCACTTTCATATGTAGAAAACAAAAACTGGTATTATTCAAGATAATCTACTTAATATTGGCTCCCGGACAGATGGCCGAAGGACATTTGGCCGACGGACGTTTCACCGACGGACATTTGACAGAACGGAACAATAGACCGAACGGACAAATGACCGAACGGACATTTGGCCGAATGGACACATGGCCTTTTATTTATTTTTCTTTCTTCTTTGCAATGTCTTTTCACATTTACTAACGGATAGATATTAATTGTAATGTAATTGCTTCTTTGCAATTCCATGGTCTTAAAAGAAACAAATATTAAATAAAGTAATAATAATAATAATAATAATAATAATAATAATAATAATAATAATAATAACAAAAAATAATAATAATAATAATAATAATAATAATAATAATAATAAAATAAAAATATCGGCTTACCTTTACAACCTCTGAAGAGCGACTGCATCGGTCCAGGCAAGCAAGGCTAACGTTTGGTTGGTTTCGGGCGTG